ACAAACGGGTAATTTATTAGAGTACTCGATTAATCGAAAAAGATTCGATAGAGTACTCGATTACAAAAATATTCGATAGCTGCAGCCCTATCTGTCACACTATCGCACTTGCAACTTCAGAGTGCCGGTGTTGGTACCAGATCAGCTCAGGCAGCCAGATCAGCTCGGTGTCCTGCGTCTGCAAATTCTGTCACAGTAGATGATTGGCTGAACGTAAGACTTACGGAAGTTACGATACCAAGTTCGTAAAAGCTACGTTAGCACGTTGACAATGATGATTTTGATTAGTCAGAACAAAATTACAGTTGTAGTCCTAGCGGTTGTAGTCTTGTAGTCCAAAAATCAACACTTTTCAGAGAAAATATGTTTGAATTTCCAAAGGAAATGGTAAACAAAAGCAAAGATATCAACTGATAAACAGTGACCCTCAAAAGCGCTTGATTTTGATTCGCCTTTAGGGGGACCAGACACCAGTTTGTATTAGTAGGTTCTGAGTTATTATGAAAATGTGAAGGCAAAATTGTCTTTTTTAAAGGGCCTGTAGCATCTTCTAGGTTTCTAGAACCCCCCAAGGTGCTTTACAACAGAATCAATCATTCACCCATGTAAACACACATTCACACAGGTACAAAAGCTACAACTGCCCTGAGGCACAGTGACAGAAACAAGGCTGCTGTACACAGACACCACTGGTCCCTCTGACCATCACCAGCAGGAAAGGTGGGTGAATGACACAATGACTATAACAGCCCAAAAGGGGTTCAAACTCACAACCCTCCTGTTAGAGGGTGGGTACTTAACCCATCTGCCACTGATACCCTCACACGCTAGAATTATTGTAAACTGGCACAAAGCAGTCTAGCATCAGGCCTGTTTAAGAAAATAAATAAATAGTTTTTGGAACATTATGACATTAGATTGTGTAAAAACCAAATAATTCACCAGTTTGTGTTTTTGTTAATTGACCATGCACATCAGGAAAACATGAACAGTCAGTGTTGCTATAAAAGTAGAAAAAAGCTGCCAGAGGAGCTTGGAATGTCAAAGTAAAGATTCAGTGCAGGTAGAAACAGGGCTGGGCGATATAGCCTAAAATCAATATGACGATTCATTGAGGATTTCACATCGATAACGATAAATGGACGATAACTACAGGAATGCGCAGAAACAAAAGTCCACTAGATGGGGCTGTCACGTGTATTACTTTGAGTTGCATTTTTACATGACTCAAGGTGGTACAGTTTCTTAAAGAGACATGAATGTTGCCAACCTACACACATCTTTTCTTTTCTTTTATTATCAAATGTATTGACATGAGAAAAAAATTATCTCGATAAGAGTCAGAAATTTTGATAACAATAAATTTTCTATTTATTGCCCATCCCTGGGCAGAAATTTACATTTCAGAAATGTTGACTCTCTGAAATAGAAACATCCCTTGATGATAAATGCCCTGCAGAAGACTCTAAAGCATTTTACACTACAGTAAACCATTCATTAGCTCATACACACATTCACACGCTGATGGTGATGGCCTACATCATAGCCACAGCTGCCCAGGGGTGCACTGACAGAGGCGAGGCTGCCGAGCTACATTGTGTGTAGGTGGTCACACAACACCACTGCGTTTTGTCCTCGTTCTACCATCTTCTTTTTGCCAATTATGCCAAAACCTTTGTTTGAAAAAGCAGATTGTGACTAAATAACTTTAATAATCTTGTTGATTACACTTATCTTTGATTGAAAAACCCAAACTCCTGCTTTCTTCAGCTGATTTCATCTGCACTAAAACACATTTTTGGTTTTGTAGATGTGTTTTTGTTTCAGCTTAGATGTCATTTAACAAGTGAAACAAAGTCACCCAAACAGTAGGGGAAGAAAGTTGGGTGACATTGGCTGGAACCTTCTGAAGCAAAGATTTAAATTAAAAATCTCTTCACCACAACATGAAAAGCTTCTGCAAACAAAGGCTAGAAGTGGAAGCAGAGCATCACAAAAACATGAAGAAAAAATAAACCTCATCAGTAGAATGCAGAGGTCATAAAAATCATTTGATTTACCATTCCTGCTGAGTTCTTGTTGTCCCTGCAGAATCTTACTTCAAATTAGAAGAGAAGAAATAAAAAAACTCAACTAAGCAGCCAATGAAATGTGAAAAAATAAGATTAAAAAAGAGGTAGAAGAAAAAGAAACTTGCATCAGACAACTCCAATCAGCAGCTGATATTTTACACAAATTCCAATATTTTTCTGGAGCAAACAGCTCAAACGTGCCCATCAAGAAGGCACAACTGAGCCCCCGACTTCCTCTGAAGCCTTTCATTTAAACGGCTGAGCAGAAAATCCTCACGCCGTTTTCTTCAAGGTTTCATCCAACATATAAAAGCTTTTCATACATGTAAGACGGGAAAAATGTGTCCATCTTTTCTCCTCTTAAAATCCTTTTTTTAACAGGAGGAACAAATTGCTTCCTCCGATATTTTAACAACGCTGCATTTGCAAAACAGAGCCAAACCTGTCATGTTCATCTGTGAGCTGCAGGCGCTTGGCAATAAATTTAATCTATTAGATGAATGGAATTCAGCCATCTTTAATTGTGCTTACTGGTCTTTTCATTGCATGTTAGAGTAACTGGAAAAATAACCAGTGTCCTTTTGAATCAGTATGATGGGTTTATAGAAGATAATTTGTGTGAAAAGGTCTTTAAAATCCAAATATAGAAAGAAAATAAGCTTAAAAAGACCAGTGAGACCCGCCGCTGCTCATGTGCTGCATGTCACAGCTGTTCACAGGCAGCGCCAAGTGGTCAGCGGTGAGGGGCGGCAGACCATGAAAGCCTTGGTGTCATAGCTTTGGATCAATGGTGAGGCAGCACCAGAAGGAGGTCACCAGATTGCCAGTTTTTTTATTTTATTTTTTAAATAAAAAGGTGACATTGGCTGATCTACCGCCCTGAGTTGGCCAGACAGACGGCACCAGTTGGAGATGGGTCATCTGATCTTAGCCAGACGCCCCAGTCTGAGATGGAGCGGCTACAGAGGCTGCTGGGTATTTTCTGATAGAAGCAGATGCAAAGTTCTGGAGTGATGTCATGTGTCTGTGTCGAGAGACTTTTCTGGGGAAGGCTGGTACAAATGTTACAGGGAAAGTAAAGCTTAAATCAGTCAAAATATTTCAGAACAGGATCGAGTGGGATGGTTTAATGATTCCAAACTTGGGATAAAGCTAAAGCTGTTGGGGATAACTGCTGATGAGTCTCACATCTCCGTGGAGGAGCTCAGTCCCGCGCATCTTTGCAGAATTGTTTGAATTCAGCCCTATTGGAGGGTTTTTCAGTACGGCAGCCTGTTTGAGCAGCAACGCATCCCCAGACATCACACAAACACCTCCAAAAGGTTCGGTTTGGTCTTGTCGGTGGTGTGTCAGTGATGTTGTCCAACACCTTCTTGCATGATTTCTCATTCCCACACGTTTGTCACTAACCAGTGCTGGAAGTGGCTGATGGAACTGAACGCCACGTGTAGTGGTCAGTCACAGCTATTTCATGATTTAACAGGGGTGAGCAATAACTGCTTCACACACAACCCCGTAGTTTTAGATAGTTACTCTGTTAATGAATGAAATCGTAGTCTGCAAAATGCTTTTTCTGTTTACTCCAGTTCTCTCTGTCTGAGACTGAAAATTTCTTTGTAGATTTGAAAATTTAAAAGGGAGAAAAAGTTATTTTAATCCCCACTAGAAAGAAAAACTTTTCCCAGAGCGTGTAATCCTCGTGTGGCAGTTTCAGGAAAAACAGGATGAAACTTTGACTGTTTCCTTTTAATAATCACAAATCCAACTCTTAATTGCAAGTTTGATTTTTTATCTTAAGCATTATTCCATCTTAAAGCTTTGACTGTTGACCACAAGAAGAAAAGGAACCAGTGGGTCATTTGGAAGATGTGTCCAACCAGAGCCAGAAGATCTGCAATCTTACCTTTTGAAATTAAAATTCTTTTAACAGAAAATGTTCTTGACGAACCAAATTCAAAACACATTTTGTTTGTTATTTTATCTTTTGTTTTTTGTTTAGTTGAGCAAATAGTGCACATTAACAGCTACTTTTCATATTTCTAATTAGGCCTTTGAGCATTGCAGTCAGCGGGGAGTGTGAGCACTGGTTGAATCAATGCTGGAAACAAGCTGTTAACAGTAATTGGAGCTTTAATTAGCTTTATTTATTTCCTTGCCTGCCTTTTGAAAACAGATCATCTCTAAATCGTTTTTAATTTCCTCATTACGGGGGCTTCTGTGAAGAAAACAGATGAACGTCCTTGTTTCTTTGAGCATTTTAATGAGAATAGTTTAGATTTTGTTGGGGACCAAACGTCTGCCAGATGTGCTCTTCACAGAATACTGGCTTTCATAATCTGTGCTGGTTCTGATTTATCAACCAGTGCATCCCAAGAACCTGGATCCATTGTCTGGCCAGACTTTATCATTCAGATGTTGCAGGAGGTCAAGCTGAGAAAGAAATCTGGACATGCTACGTGGACACACGTCCCTCTGCTGAATGAACCACCTGATCTTTGTTGGAGCTGATTTGTCTGGTGACAGAAAAATAAACAAAACTCTGGCTTTATCTGCGGGAAATATCACTCTGGAACTGCCTAAAGTGGGAAAACTTTTTTTTTTAATTATTATTATCAGTTGGGTTTTGGTGGGTTGTTTTACGTCTTTAACGCAAACGTATTTTAATACATTTGCTTAAAGCTTGTTGTCCCTTTTTCTTAGCTGGATGAAAATCCTGATGCTGAAGATTAAAAGATAATTTTACAAATCAAAGTACATACTAGGAAAACACTTATGTAGTTGCGTTACATTTGTTGCATTAATGCCACCAGGGGAATCACCCCAACCGCATCTGGAAACCTGACGGTGCGCAGCGCGCAACTCTTCCCCAAATCCAGATGTTTGTTATGATGGAGGGATCAGAACGGAGGTGTAGAGACGGGATCTTACCTGTAATATTCCCACTCCCTTCCCGCACCTTGACGCCCGTTTAAACCATCTGCGGGGCGGCTGCTGCTACAATCCAGCTGCGCGTCTTCGCTGTGGAGACATTTGCCTCCAGCTCGGGCGGAAACAGCAGCGGTGCCCTTTTCTTCTTTTTTATATTGAAAAAAACTCTTTCAGGTTAAATCAAATAAGCTTTTGACTCCAAACCATTTGTTTTAGAAGAGGAACATATCATCCAGGATGGAGAAGAGTCCGTTAGTCCACTCAGTCAAACCTCTCGGATGGTTTATCCGCCTCTTGTTGAGGAGCAACACCAAGCAGGTGCCTCAAAACGGCGTTTTCAAATCCAGGTGGATCACTCCATTCTCCTGGTCCGTCTCCCCGGTAGGGTGGGTTCTCCTCCGCGTCTTAAAGCAGACTGACAGCTCCGCTCCGTGCGCACCAACTTTTATGGAGACTCCAGAGCGCAGGACTCCGGGCTTGTGGCGCGTTCACGAGGCTGCTTTGGCTCAGAACGGCGGCTTGAACCAATTTTACAACCAGAAAGGGATTTTTAAGCAAACCGTAAAAATTCCTTCTGCTGATGTGGATTCAGTTAAATATTAGATGATCTGATATGAACCCATATCCATCTGCCTCTCCCTGGACTTGAGTGGTTCAACTCTGCAACGACCACATGGGTAAAGTTGCCCTCTACTGCCATCGTGCGGCTAATCAGCGTATAAAACCAAATAAAAACTATTTTCTACCCAAAACAAGCATGAAAACCCGTCTGGTAGTTGTTTATTTCAGGATGAAAACAGTCCAGTTGCACACACCCAAATATTTGTTTTTAAAAACAGCATAAATTTATGATCTGGCGCAAGTGAAGACAAACAAAACATCACATTCATAGAAGCACAAAGTGATTGGCATTTTCAGCTCAGAAATATAAAGGGACACTCACAAAGTCCTGTCAGCCGTGTCCATTTCAAAGCTTTTTTTTTTTTTTTTTTTACTTGTTACAGAATGTCAGGAGATTTTCTTCCTAAGGCAACGTTAAGAGATCAGATCCTGTTTTTCCGCCTTTGGGACCAATATCAGGGAACATCCAGGCGCTCTGATTCAAGCTGCTTCTGAAAGGCATCAGTGGCTGTGGTGGTAGTAAAGTAGTCCATTAACCCCCCCCCCCCCAGTTCCTCAGCATTCCTCCTTGATGTAGATTTGGTCGTCTGTGTCCATCTCCAGGTGTTCCAATCGCTCCGTCTGTCCGTTCATGATCTCATCTGGGGTTTTCATGAACCTACAAGACAAGTTGCTTTGGTTTGGAAATGAAGCCAAGCACTGATTTTAGAATTTGAAAAACATCGTGGACTAAATTTACCTGAACAGGAGTCTTTGCCCAGGCTCTTTCCTGATGATATTCAGTTTGTAGTAGTGTCTCAGTGCTCGTGACATCTTCTCGTACGTCATGTTGGTTCTGTTCTGTGAGGGCCAAAGAGTAAAGGTGTCATTTAGATTCTCTGTGGCATTCACAAGGTGTAATAGATAAGTTTAGAATAGAAATGTTCCTTTTTAAGGAGCCCAAATATCTAGATCAGTTAAGGAAAGTAAAAAATACACAATCCTGAAAGGTTTATTAGAATAAAAACTTATTATAGTCTATTCTTTTTGGGGTCATTTTTGGAGGGAGGCCCCAGTGACAAACTGCAGCTGCTCCAATCTCATCCCGATGGGTTCCCACATCGTCGCTCCCACCATGTTCTAATGGGGTGTGCCTGGAAAACCTACAGGGAGCGATGTCCTGGAGACATTCTACCTTTCACCGTAGAGGAGCAGCAGCTACTGGAGAGCAATAGCTCACACGTGACCGTCAAAAGGAACTGATTTGGTAGGTTAGACATCTGGACTGCCCTCTAGTGGAGGTAGTGACTAATACACCAACGTAAAGCAGACATTGGGAGGCAGTGGGCAGCGAGGTTGATTGTTTGAAACTCATTTACATTCATAATGTAAGCGTGAACGGACCTTGATGCTGAGCTCCACCACCCAATGAGGGAAGCTCATTTCTGCAGCTTGAATCCAAGATCTCTATCTTTTTGGATGAATCTGATGATGAGTGTTGGAACTTGGATAGACCAACAAATCAAAAACTTTGCCCTTCAGAACAGGTCCTTCTGGACCACAAAAGACTGGATCAAAGCTCTCATTTCTGCAGACAAAGCAATGATCCATTGACTCCTCACTTGCTAATCTATCCATCACCCATGCACCAAAACGTCACACACCAGTTTGCTGATTTAATTTAAACACAAATCAAACCCGTTTTAATGGTTACTCTTGGCACAAATAAATGCAGATAAATAAAAATCTCCTCTAAAGGTAAAACTTAAAGTTGGAATATGGAACATTTTAATAAAAAGGTATATTAAAAAATAATAAAATACCTCCACGGGGCGTTTAGAGGTTTGCAGAATGGACATACAGTTTCTCCTTTAAAAGTTATATTTACAAAGAAAAATATGATTTTTTTTTTGTCTGTCAGGCACAACATTGGGTATATGTTTACATCCACCAGCCACTAGAGGGCACTCTTGCACTAAAAGGTCAACTCATCAAGGCATGGTTGGGACTGTATAAAATGGCAGACTTGACAAGTCAAGCAGCTGATTATGAGCCCAGAAGACGTTCCAATGGTAAATGCTGTTGTAAAATAAACTCATTAGTAGAAATGAGTCTTTATCCTGTACGATTTGTCTCTGAACATGGTGCTGGAACGTGTCAGCAGTGAACCAACATCCCAGCATTGCAATAACACTGAACACCAGAGTTCGCCAGATTGTCCGTGTTCCATTGTCAACCTTTAAGTCCAATTTAAAGTATTTGTCCTCTACTAACTTACAGGGGCGTAGCACCAAATTCTGGGCCCTAGGTACAAGTCTTCTAGGTGGGCCCCCATGCTCAATTACTTAATATCTCTCTTACACATTTTTTGTCATGCTATAAGACAAGATAATAAATATGATCTTAGTTTAACCTCTATATTGAGCAAATACAAATGCCAGCATAATAAAAGTGAAATGCCCAGACTTCACATATAATTATTTTTATTTGCCAACAATGTGTTCAAACAAAAATCCTGGAATTTATTTTCCAGTAAATGCCCACTGACGGGTCTTCATGTTAGCAAAATCACTTATGAGATCTTTAAAGTCCAATCCTTTGGCTAATTGGCTTTCAATAGAAAGAAGAGATAGGCTGTTCAGTCTATCCTGGGACATTGTTGATCTCAAATAATTTTTCACCAGTTTCAGTTTGCCAAAAGCCCGTTCACCCCCAGCAACAGTCACAGGTAGTGTGCAAAAAAATCCTCAGTCCAATACAAACTTCTCCAAAAATGCTCTGTAATTGCATCCTGTATAGATGGCATTAAGCAGCTCAAGAGGAGACAGAATGTGTGGAAATGTGGCACCATATATTGTTCTCAGGTGTAGCATCTCATTCTCAAATTCAGCTGTGAGATCCTTGTAATATTTTCTCATCAGTGCCTGGCATGATATCTTCATCTACTCTTCAGTCATGTCTGTCATGGTTCATGATGTTAAGCTTTGCTGATATACCGGTATATTGATATATTAAATACATATGACATGAAATAAACCAGGTTCTCTCTGTGAATGTAATGTACTCTAAATTTTATAATCCCTGCATTATCAGCCAAATTATAAGATTGTCCGTTTTCAAGATCAAATATAAAGAAATTTAAAATAGGCTTAAAATATCTAACCAAGTCAATAACAATCCTCTAACACCAGTGTCATCATGCTATACGAAAAACAGTGGCAGCTTCTCATTCCTGAGATTACCACGAATCCATCGATACCAAGTTTGTCCTGGTCCATGACTGGGAAGGAGCTGAAATATCCACACAGAGTGAACCTGTTTTTACAGCGAGGTCCGCAAATTAATTGGCGGCGGCCGCCCGCGATAATTCTGATTAATATATATATATATATATATATATATTAATTTGTGTTTTCACTGATAACACTAATTAATTTATATTTGATCTTGATGGTGAAACTAAAGGCGTTTAACACTGAACACCTAACATGAATGCAGCTTCTGAGAGCTAGCTAATAGGGCTGCAACAACGAATCGATAAATTCGATGAAAATCGATTACTAAAAGCGTTGGCAACGAATTGCGTCATCGATTCGTTGTGTCGCACAACTCTTCCAAAAGCGCCCCCCCTTCCCGCCCGCCGTTGCGCGCAGACCAGAGCAAGTCAGATCAGCGCGAGGGAGAGCCGCAGATCAGCGCCAGGGAGAGCCGCAGATCAGCGCCAGGGAGAGCCGCAGATCAGCGCCAGGGAGAGCCGGCAGATCAGCGCGAGGGAGAGCCGCAGATCAGCGCGAGGGAGAGCCGCAGGTCAGCGCGAGGGAGAGCCGGCAGATCAGCGTGAGGGAGAGCCGGTACCGGCAGATCAGCGCGAGGGAGAGCCTGCAGACTTGCGCTGCTGCGAACCGGTTCCGCATTGTTGCACAGCGATCCAGGCAGCTGCTTCCAGCGCACGGTCCATTCTCAAAGTGGCGCAACCAAAAAACTATAATTAGCACACGATCGTTCATGTCCGCACATGTTCTCTATTTTCTGTCTTATTTGTGCCTGAAGCTCGCTACTGCGGATCTCATCACCTGTGCTGTGGTGATGTCACCTCACGCAGCATCGAAAACGCGCTCTGCGCTTTTCGGTCAGGAGATCCCTTTGACCTGCTCAAAAGTAACTGATGAGGTGAAAAGGTAAGAATCCAGGCAACAGATTTTCTGGAGAATTAAGAGGAGATGCAGGAAGATGAGAGACAGACAGGACAGGAAAATAGTTCAATAAAAACAAGAAAACAAAACAAAGTGTTGAAAAGTAAAATGTAGGTAGATTTATCTCCACTACACGTTTTTACCAGTAAAAAACAATAAGTTATACACATGTCATATTTATACATCTGATACAATTCAGATCACCTTCAAAACTCAGTCACACACCCAGGGCCGTTTCAAGACATTTTGGGGGCCAAGGCAAAATGCCCCCCCCCCCCCCCCCCCCCCCCCAATAGCTGGGCTCCCCAGAAGCCTCTGTGTAATTCATACCCTCTCCAGTAGTGTTAGTTATATGGTGTTTATAAAAGCCCCTCAGACATTACTGACATGTTCTAATATTATCAGATGAAAAACTAAATTATCAGACATGCTGTCTCATCTGCTTCTTTTTTAAACTTGCAAAAAGTAACAAAACCATTTGAAAGCCACTATTTGTGGATTCTCTGAAAGTTTCCATGGAGTGTGTGACAACTTATTTTTTCATTGATCATATCGTCTAATCTCACAGCTGAAACAAGCATCCTTAATCATCTGTGCACAGGAAGCGTACCGATGCTGTAGTAAAACAAAAGGTATAATAATTTATTATTAATAAAACCTTGTTGCAGCACTAAAGCAGAAAAATTAGATTTTGCATTAAATATGCAAAATATTTACATATGAATTGTTTTAGAGCCCTTTAATTGGCAGAATCTGATATTAATTTAGTTCTTACAAAAAATGGGTCCCAACATGGTTTGTGTGGCGTTGCCATAGTGTGACGTCATAGGCACAGATACCCTGTCCTCTTGTTTGGAAATGGAAATATGATCACCCTATATTAAACAAACTGTCCACCCGGGCTTTTGCACTGCACAGAGACGCTTCGCTGCCTACGACTGAACGTCAGTTGAGAGTCAGTCTCATGCAGACTGACCAATGAAGAGAGGGCCTCAAGTTAAGACCCTCTCCTCATTGGTCAGTCCACACGAGGTGGGTCAAAGGTTACTCTGGGCGGGTTACGTGTTGTCAGGCATTCAAGTATTGAGTATATTTACTGCATATTACAGTAAAATATTCTGTATGTGACCACATTATGGTGATCCTTGGGTCGTGATGATGGAGCCCTTGAATATTGTTGCCCAGGGTACAACAAAGTGTTAATCTGGCCCTGGTTCCGCCGTCACATTCCCGCAGAAACTGGTTGATCACACCGGGGCCAGACTACTAGCATGTGGTTTTACAACCACAATGTCCTCAGAAGCAAAAACGCTTTTAAAAGGGAGGGAGGAGTCCTAACTGTTGCTGCAGGCGTGTTGTGTGAGAGTGCAGTTATATACTGGTTAATATATTTTTGGGTTCAGTTGCTTTCATGTGGCCTAATGTGAGTCTATTTGGGATCATTGGAATGATCAGCAGCATTTCTTGATGTGACTTTATGGCAGTTGCCCAGGGCATCATCGCAAGGAGGATGGCATTCATTTACTTTTGTTTTATTTGGTATTTTTTCAGTCATTTTTGGAAATAGTGATCAATTTTGATTAATTCACAGCCTATGTTTAATTACATTTAAAATAAATGTCAACAGATGAGATCAAACAAAACAGATGAGAATTGCCCTTAAGCTGTTTAACTTGGACCAAGCATTTTTGGTCACAGATAGATGTAGCTTAGGGTCTCTGTCTGTACACCTTATAAGACAATTTAGGTGATGGCATGTTGTTTTTCTGCTATTGAACTGTTTTCTAATAATGTTGTGTTAAATAAAGTGAAGGGAGAGAAATAACGTTTCCCTAGCTGTTTTTAAAAATTTCCCCATGTAATCCGATTAATCGATTAATCGTGTCGAGACCCCATCCGATTAATCGATTATCCAAATAATCGTTTGTTGCAGCCCTACTAGCTAATATCAGCTAAAACTGTGTTCTGCTGCTACTCACCTTCCTTCTTGAAAAACCTAGTCAATACTTGCTTCTGTTCAATTAACCTTTTCTCCTTCTCCTTATTTTCTTTTCTTTTCTTTTCTGGAAGCCAGATTTCCCTTTCTTGGGAAAAGACATGACTGACTCTCCTGCCTCCAGCTCTGGCTGTCGGCATCTGCGATGTCTCATAGCTGTACATGCGGCCGTGCAGCCCCTGGCCGCTGGTGTGGACTAAACCACTTTGCACATTTTTAAGGGGTGATAGATGCCTCAGAGATTATTCAGTTATTATTTTTAAGGCGAAATTCTGTTTCTTAACCTCTTTATCCAGGTAAAGGAAGTTTATTAAGACATTAAGTAAGTTGGGGGGGGGGGGGGGGAAACAACAACAATAAAACATTTTTATTCAAAGCTGTCTCAGGGCCCCTCCCTGCAGTGGGCCCTGGGTAAACGGTACCCTTCCCCCCCCCAGTCCGACGCCCCTGCTAACTTAGCTTGGCCTGCCAGACTCGTCCTCTGTTTAATTCTACACAGAGAACTATGCTACTACTAACTAGCTTTTTGTTTTTTAACTCTATTTAATGGTAAATCAGATCACACTTGTGAGCACCACAGATGATAAACAATAAAGTGACCTTGATCATGTTCTTCTAAGGAACTCACCAGTAGCGATGGGTACCAAATTCGGTACTTTTTAAGGTACCGACTGAATTCCACTGTACCGACTGAGCACCGATTCACATCATTTGAAAAGGTGCCTCGTTTCGGTACCCGGCCTTCATAACAAAAACTTGCCGAGACAGCTGCGCATGCGCAAGAGCGTTATGTCGCTCGCTGTGAGCCAGTTGTAAACAGAGCAGCATGGCAAAAAGAACACAGGCTAAAGCTTGGGTCCACTTCACTAAATGTGATGGGTAACTGGGTGACGATGAAACCAGCGACAACGATCTAAGTGAGACATCCTCATCTTAATCTGCTCCGGTAGGTAAATAAAATGTTTAAGATAACGTTAGCTTGATATGGAAGCTTCCGTTCCGCTAATGGTGTGTTCACTTACTCCTAGGAACTCCGAAATTCCGAATAAAGAACATGAACGCACTCTAAAGTTTGGCTTCACTTTACTAAATGCGATGGGTGATTGGGTGAAGATGAAACCAGTGACGACGATTTAAGTGTGAGGCATCATCGTTTAAATCTGCTCCAGCAGTTAAATAAACTTTAAGATAACGTTAGCTTGATAAATTAGCTTCCATTGCCACCATTGTTATCAGCTAATGGTGCGTTCGCTTTCTCCTCAGAAATTCTAGCTTCCCAGTAGGAAAAATCAAATGAAAAAGGACGGCAAAAGGAATGAAGATACACAGTAAATTTAGTTCACAGTAAAGATGTTTGCTTCAGTTTAATTATCAGCTTATAAAACTACAAGGACGATGTTCAAATACAAACAGTTGTATGTTATTTATCATGATATTCATTAAATATGGTAATATATTGAGAAAAATATATATTTAATTATAAAAGAGAATTAAAATATTAAACACTCAAAAGTATCGAAAATTGGTACCGTTACGTACCGGTACCGTACCGAATCTATTCAAATGTCAAAGATTCCCATCCCTATTCACCAATGGATTTACCTTTAGGATAAAAAAAAACAGAGAGCAAATCCAGGGAATCTGATGTTTTTCATTTCGAGCCAAGCACGAGACATTTCTAACGTCTCGTATAACCAAGGTTTGAAGATTCTTACTTAAAAGTAATTATTTTTATTTAAAATACTGCATGTTCTTTTTAGAGCAGTGGTTCCCAACATGGGGTCCATGACAAAACTCTGGATGTCTGTTTAAAGGTTGTAATTAATCACTTCTGATGTGTGAATATGGGTAATAGTTGGGGTTTGGGTGGACCTAGCTTGTCTTGGACACAAGCAAGGGGGACCTCACGGAAAAAAGGTTGGTTTAGAGAGTAAAATAATAAAATCTATTTTGCATTTTTAAACAACTTTAAATGTTGGTTTCCCATTAGAAGTTTAAACTAGATGAGTTTGTCCTGCATCTCAAAATGTGGACACCACCGGTCCAAAGAAACCAAATCTGTAGTGTCACTAATTATATTAACCCTCCCACTGTCCTAATGGGTGTGGCCCCGCGAGGAAAGTTGACCATTGAGCAGGGCTGATGGTTAATCCCTTGGGTCCATGTGGCAGGGGTGAGGAGTGAGCACCACCTCACCCCTGCCACGTGGACCTCAAGGGATAAACCATCAATCCTGCTCAATGGTCAACTTTCCTCGCGGGGTCACCCATTGGGACAGTGGGAGGGTTAAACAAAGTCTCTTCATCTGCTTAACAAAGAAGATCCATGTGATCTAAAAGGTCACATGGACCTGCTCACCAAATGAAAGTCAACAACCTTTTAACCTGCTGTGATCTTTGAAATCGGGTGTTTTTATCACTTTCACTGATAGCTTTTTGTTTTTTCCCCTTACTGTCAGTAGATGTGGGCGTGTGACTAAAAAAAAGATAAATATTAGGTTACTTGGTTTAATAGTAGTCTTTCATCCTGACAAACCTTTCACAATAAGAGCCCTGGGCAATTGCATACGCAAATACTAATACTACCACTACTACTACCACTACCACCACTACTACTTCTACTACTACCACTACCACTTCTGCTACTACCACTACTACCACTACCACCACTTCTACTACTACCACTACCACTTCTATTACTACCACTACTAATACTACCACTACTACTACTACTACTACTACCACCACTACTACTACCACTACCACCACTACTACAACTACTACTACTACGAATTATGAAAAACTTTATATTTATAGGCTAAAAAAAAAACCATATTATAAATCTGCCATCAGCTTCCCTTATTTATAAATATGAACTTCTAGTTGGTGTGCCTCTGTTTAAAAGCCTTTTTTGTAAACTGCTGCAGTATGTTATCAGGTATTATTGTAGGTGTATTTTGGTTTATTTGAACATGGTTTGATGCACCTCATAAATCAAAAGCTGAGCAGGTGAGCTTTGAAAGTCTCAGATGCTTTGAAGTTAGGTGATAATTAGAGAACATCAGGGAACAAAGAATACTAAAGTCACACAAGATGAGCGTTGACAAACAGCTGTGTGTCTCACCAGGCAGGAGCTTGTGGAGTAGTCCACTCCGATTTTTCCACTGCACATTTTTTAAACTCAATCAAACTTGGTACCAAAAAGATTTCCCCTTTTCCCTACTTAAGGATAAAGCCCCTGAGATCAGTGTTTACCTTGTGGTTGCCCCAGAGCCTGGCCAGGCCGTTGGGGTCGATGATTCGGAAGACTTTACTCTCCCGATCCTCCCAGCGGATGTAGTTCTCGTACCTGCTGTCCGACAGAAGCTGGTAGACGTAGTCCCACAGCAGCCTGCAGTCTGAAAAGAGCCAGGAAACAAAAATAAAGAGTGTGTCCATGTGAAACTCTGTTTCCTAAACCTAATCTGTCCTTGAGATGACTTTACCCGCTATCCGTCCAATGGGCATTTGCTGCTCCTCTGGAGGAGAAACGGGCATGATGACATGGTTCCTGTAAAGCAACTCCTCCTGCTGCTGCATCAGCTGCTGTTGCTGTAGACTCAGGTGATGATGAGGGACGTGGACCTTCCCCTCCCGCCCATTCTCCAAAGCCACCTGGGACGGGGTTCCACTGCGGCTGTGCTTGAAGTCCATGCCGGCACCCCCACCGCTCCTCGGGCTGAGGAGCAAAGGGTTCATGATGGTGCTGGGCATGAGCTGGATGACACGAGGAGGACCTGCCTCCTGGAGCCCAGGACTGCCCCGGCGGGGGGGTTCTCTGGGGGTGGAACAGCGCCCGTTAGGGGGGACTGGGGACACCGACAGGGGGTACATCTCCTCTGGTAGGTGGTTGTTGCTATCAGGCAGCTGGGAGAAGGTTTGTAGGGGGTCCTCATTGGCAGAATGGGTGTGGTTTGGCTCTGGAGGGGATAGTGTTGGGGCTGGGTTGTGGGGAGAACGAGAGCGGTGACGTAGTTCTATAGTTGGTGGCTGTTCGGGGATGGGGTCTGTACCACGTGGGGTCCGCCGTACCGTCTCTGAGGGAACAACACGGAAGCATTTTAGGTTAATTATTTTATTCCAAAATGTTTTTCATTACGTCGGGATGTGCAGGAATTTCACAGAAATGATTCCTGCAGGAAATAACAAATAGTTGAAAGTTAACATTTAAAGAGACAATATGTAGTTTTAACCATTAATATCTGGAAACATCCATCAAAATGTTGTTGAAAACTAATTAAATGATGACCAGCTGTTAAAAATATTGGCAGCTTTGTCACATATAACCACAAAAATAGGATCTCTGGGTGAAGTCATATTAGTTACGATATTTCCTTCTACGGGAGCCCATGAGGACAAAACGTATATACCGATTTGTACAGTTACAAAACATTTGCCATTCATAAATCTTGTTGTTTAACACATTTACCTCTTTGCTTATTGCCAGTGATGAAAGGGAGTCTGATGTGCTTGACGTTTTTTTGAAGGCTGTGTTCCCACAGATTTTTGACCCTAATGGCCACCCGTTGGTTAGGTCTTACTTGAACACAAAAATACAGTTTGCTTGCAATGATTCAGGTATGTACTGCCCCCCAACGCCAGGGAAAATAAAATCATCACTTTAACTGAATTAGAGAATTTTCCCATCTTACCTTAGCACAAGAAGACTAGAGTTTGATTATTGATTTCTTCTATAATGATTCTCACCAATACTGCTGGAGTCCCTGATCACTCGCCTTTACTATGATGTATAAGTTGTAAGGACCACTCATTTATTGAAGTAGAAACTCAGCTACACACATGGGTAATGCCCCAAAATAGGCCCACATCTTCTGCTGGTATTCACTCTTGTTCTGAGCTTCAAGTGCTGCCAGGTGACAGGTGAGTAACTGGAATCTGACTGACCTTCAGCAAACCCTGGTCAGGGAATGGAAGGTCAATCCTCAGCAACGTAACTTAGGAGTTTAGGTGTTGCGGCTATGTCTGGACCCTCCACATGCTACTGAGGCCCATTGCAGTGGAAAATTCATAAAGTGTAAAAGAAAAGTACAATATGAGCTGGTTTGTTCTGACAGATGAATGATCCTTACAGGCTCTACGTAGGCTTTCATCTACATAATTTTCATTACCACGAAGCATCACAGCAACAAAAAAATGGTTAAAAACCAATAAATAATCAACAGCGTAGAAATAATTTACTAAATGCACATGTTCTTAGCCATTATGTTAAGTTTAATGTGGGCAAAGATGGTAGATAATGAAATGAAGATGATGGAAACAACACTCAGAGAAAGGCTGGCCTCAGAAACTATAATAATCAGAAACAACATTATTATTTATCCAATTAGTTCTGGTCCATCACAGCGGTTTTTTATAACCACTGTTATGTGTTTAGTTTCCTTCTGCTGTAAATAGGTCAAAAGGCTGGGAAGGGAAGAAAATCCTCATTGGTTTCTAACGTTTTGGGGCTTTAAATACACCACTAGATGTCACCAATACCTCAAAATTGAAGCAGAGGATGAGCTGATTTGATTTTAGATGCCTTAAGTAAAAAGACTGAAAGTACTTAGCTGATTTGCTCACTTTAAATGTCGAATTGACAACATTTAATCATTTGACTTTATAAGTAGAAAGTTTAATCTCTGAAGATCAATCTTTCATTCAGGATTCGTTTGTGGTCCCTGAGGCGGACAGCTGCTGTACCGAGGGGATGCTAGTAAAAACGGATGATCTCACTTTAGGTGTAGGCAGAAGAAACCCATATCCCAGATTTACACAGTAGGGAAAGACGATGTTTAAACCACTTAGCTGCATAATCAAGTTAACAAACCTTCCAGATGTTATGAACACATTAAAATACAAAAAGCTTCTTGCATAACATTCTATAAACATTCAAACCTTTTATGAATGACAGAAATATTAAAAGTGACAAAGTTTTTATGGTGGCATCTGAAGACGTTCTGAAAAGGGTGGATTTAGATGGATTATAAATATGTACAAAGTCCTTTTTAATATCAAAATTAGATTACTCCCAAAACAAAACAAAAAAAATCTAATGGTTTTTTGAGGAAAATCTAGAAGATCCAACAGCACCAGAGAAAAGCAAAATACTTTATAGAGAATGACAGTTTCAAGAAGGACAGAAAATAAGCCACACTCTAAAAAACCATCAAGGACAGACTGATTACTGGCTAAAGTCCAGAGACTGGACATGAGAATAAATAATTATCTGGATGAATAAAAGTGGGCACTTCCATCAATCCTGTGTGCCGACAGCCAAGCATCCACTACTATTAGTAAAATGTAGCAAGAACAGATTTTAGGAACTCTAACCAACACAGACCCAGTTAGAGGTCTAGTTCTAGGTTGTTAGTGCTGTGAAGAACTAAAATAACACAAAGATTGAAATAAATAAAAACCCATTAAGACGTGTTCTCTCCACCTATCAAATTCTTATTCATACAACATGTATGTAAAGCTTCTCAGTCGAAGAAGTTCCCTGAGACCCCTAGTGCCCTCTCGGTGGCGCCATTGTTACAGATTGCCCTTTTAATAATCAGAATTTCAAAATACTTCTTTAAAAATATACATAGAAAAAATGTGAGTATTTTTTGTGTTCAAAAACTCTCCTGTTTTAACCACAAACCAAGCAGAACAAGAGCTCTGACCTGAATCACCGATTCCACATTAAAAAAAATAATAATAATAACCACAAGCAAATACAGATGTGTGTCATGATTTCATAATAAAAAGATGCACTGCTTGATAGATGAACATTATTTTCTGTGCTGGGCTTAAGCTCCTGGAGTTTGAGGCTTCTACCACCACCTCTGGGTGGTTGGGTGTCTGAGCAAGTAGAAGCTTGTCTGCACATGAAGGTATGACAGCCAGTCACTGCAAGGCACTCCCACGGCACAGTAATGGTCTAAACCAGAGTGAAAAGGATTAAATGTTGAATGAACACACTCCAATAACAGCTCGGTGTATGTGACATGTTACTGGTACCTGAGACGAATAAAAATGTTTGAATACAAGTTCTACCTCACATTAACACTATTTGTTTCATTGCTTCTTTGTTGGTGTGCACGTTAAAGGGTTAAACAGTTGAATGACAAAGTGTCAGATACACTTTCTCTGAATGGATTCGTTTTAAAGACAGGCACTCGCCACCGTGAATCACTCACTTTGCATGCAGCTTGTATTGTTTAAATAAAGCAGCATTTCCTGGTGGAGCAGGTTTTACTGTCAACATTTCATCTGGAAGCTCAAGCTGCATGCTTTCTTGTTGTCATGTCACATTTTCTCAGATTAAAGCCAGGAGACAGTTTCAGGTATTTAAACATCCTTTCTGTCTGCTTCCTTAAAAACAGCAGAGTAAGAGTCAGATCGCTCCCTTTGCACCGTCTACTTTCATTAACACCCCCTCTTCCTTATACAGAGGACTATCACACAGCCAGAAGAAAAGACCAGACAGAACTCTGACTCGCACACACTAAACACATTGTTGAAGACGAGGGGAATCCCAACACAACCTGTTGGGTTTGATGGTAAAAAGAGTCAACCTGTGAGGATGAGTGCACCAACAACTCATTTTTAGTCTAAAAAGTTAATTTTTTAAGTTTTACTAAATCAGTAGTCCCAATGTTTTCTAAAGGGGTTCTGTGGAAAGGTCACAAACTGCCTCAGTTTGGAGAAACAAAGATTAGTTAAGGCCAAAGAGTTGAGCAAACGAGTAACAATCTGATCAGTTTCAACTAAAGGTGCTCCCATCTTGGTGTTGAGGGTCGCTGCAGATATTTGTTCGTGTACGTCACAAAGACGTATAAAAATAAATTTTTCTTAACCTACTCGACTTTTTGGTGCATCTCGAGTAGGGCTGCACGATATTAGGAAAACCTGTGATATTCGATAACATTGATTAATATTGCGATGACGATATTACTTGCGATAAATAAAAACTTAACTCAGGAACAAAAATAATCAAAAATAAAACAATCATCAAAATGAGAAAAGCTAAAGGGAAGGAAAGGGAAAAAGAAAATGAACAAGAAAAGGCAATCCGTGGATCCCAGGAAAAGCAGATTCAGCAAAAAGAGCAGAACAAAGCTAACTCGGGTGTTTGCTAACCATCTAAATGAAGTGCCGTCCACCTCGGGGGCGGGCATCTAAGCTATGAGAACCCATCCATTTGGCCAAATGGGTGAAGAGCTCTGTTTGATTTGTTAAAAAAACATCCTGCTTCCGTTTGATTGACAGAATGCATTATGTGTAGCAAACACTTCAGCTGACCATTCATTGCGATATTTATCTGTTCTTTGCGATATGCATATAGTGCATGGTGATATCGCGATAACGATATATTTACGATATATTGTGCAGCCCAAATCTCGAGCTTCAAACTGTTTAAAATATTCATTGCAGTTCATGCAGATGTAATTTTATAAACTTTATGTAGCAATACAGTTCATATTTCAAGATTATTCTGATTGAATGTTTTCTTTATTTCTTGCAGGAAGTAGTTAGCTCCATAGCTTTCTGCAGCAAACAACCTTAGCAGTGGTGGTGAAGAAACTCATAAAGAAACATAAAAGAGTCATCATGTTATTGAGATTAGAGTTGGATTAAGACAGCAGAAGCACTTGTACGCTAGTCCCACTTAAACCAGTCACTGGCACATGTGTCAAGTTCTAATTTACCTGTTTCTCTAAGCTGAGGTTGTTTAAAGATAATTTTGTCCTTCACTTGTCCACTGTCCTCGTTTAAGGACATGTTTCACACTATTTGGAGATACTATAGGTGCCTAGAAGGGTAAGATGGAAATTTGTTTTGTAAATAAGGACAGAGAACATCAAAAGACCAAGTATTAGCCAGCTTGTCCTTGGAAAGCTTTCATTTACTTAGAAATAGACCCCAACGGGAAAACACAACAGATTTTTAATAAAAATTGCACTATTATTACACTATTAAATTAGCCCTTATTTAAGGCATACTAGTAGATCAGAAGTAAGGACGTAACAACAAAAAGGTTCCACTGCTTTCACGTTTATAAAATGGCTGATTTAATGACAGGCCTCCGGCAGAGCTGATAGCAAGAAGAGACAACCTGTTTAGAGAAACAGGAAAAGGTGTTTGGAGGACTGACCTTCGAGCTTCAGGTGCCGCACAGCGCTTTCAGGCAGCGAGTTAAAGGAGTTCCCAGGAAAGTAGGGAGACGGGCCAAACGCGCTGGACTTCCGCTGCTTTAGTATATGCTGCAGCAGCTCATACAGGACATCCCCTGCAGACACACAAAGGTCAAAGGTTATCAGACATCTCCTGGTGACGTTTGATTTCCGAATGAATTGAGAAACAAGCACCATTGTTGCCCGTGGCATCAACTTCCCCTTTTGTCTATGCTTTCCAGGACACAGTGTTGCCATGACCCCCTAATATTCATGAAGCTGAAGCAATCATGGAAGAACCACTCAAGAGGGGAACTCAGGACATGCGAGGTTGTTACTGAGGCTGTGGTTTATGGTCGTTTTGGTAGACTAATCTGTACATTTCTTCCAGATTGGTTCATTACTCAATGGTCATTTCACCTCGCCTGCTCAGGTGTAGCTGAATATCACCTTGATGTCTGTGTGTTAATGCAAGAACACTTCGAGAGCAACAGACCGTCAATAAAAGCTTCTGACAAAGCTGCTGCATGATGGATGCTGTAGGTTTAACAAAGAGTAAAAAAGCCCAAATCAGTGAGAGCTAGATTATAAATGACCACCACCAATGCATGTGGGCGACGGTGGCATAGGAGTTAAGTGCTCAACCCGTAATCGGACGGTTGCCAGTTCGAGCCCCGCTCAGTCTGTCGCTGTTGTTGTGTCCTTGGGCAAGACACTTAACCCACGTTGCCTGCTGGTGATGGTCGGAGGGACCCGTGGTGCCAGTGCTCGGCAGCCTCGCCTCTGTCAGTGCGCACCAGGGCAGCTGTGGCTACATCGTAGCTCATCCCCACCAGTGTATCAATGTGTGTGTGAATGGGTGAATGATTGTGTTGTAAAGCGCCTTGAGGGGTTCCAGGACTCTAGATGGCGCTATAGAAAATACAGGCCATTTACCATTTTTAGACTATGTGTCACAAATTGGAATGAATAAATCTAAAACCCAACAGGAACCTTCAGTGTTGGTTTTAAACTAGACCTCATCTCCCACTGACCGATCATATTTAAGACCTTTTTTTTCCTTTAACAAGGAGACAAAAGTCCAGAAGACATTGAGCTGTTTAGAAGACAACATAAACGACCTGTTGACAGACATAAATGGACCAAAGTGTTATACGATCTTGGCTTTTTCCTTTAAGTGGTTACACAATAAGGGCCAACAGCAGGAAGTTCACTCAATGATTTACAGCACTGTTTTGCCTCGTGACAAAACATTTATACAGCCAACACCAGTCCGCAGGTACAGGACAGCTCTAATCTGCTCTGGTAAAGACTTACCATAACAAGGAAATGATTCCCATAAAGGAAGTAATGGTGAACACACACACACACACACACACACACACACACACACACACACACACACACACACACACACACACACACACACACACACACACCACTTTCAGTTCTCACTTTCTGGTCTCATGGCACCGAGCAGCACTGAAAGGAAAATTCCTGCTTCCTTATGTTTGCTTCTAATCCTTCATTTTTTTTATTGTTTTACTTCCCGTTTAAAAAATGTTAATTAAAAGTAAAGGAATAATATTTTACAGGAAACGGCAGATTTCACAGTATGAAAATTGATGCATCTGCTTCAGTTTTTTGTTTCATGAGGAAGTTTAAACTTGCTGCTGACAATTTAAATAAAAAAACAGTTTCAGCTGCTGTTTTATTACAAATTTTCTTTTTAGTGCATTTAAAAATGGAAATTAGGCAAACAGCAGAGATTGATGGGAACTGTACTCTTATTATATTCCAAAGGAGGAAAAGGAGATCTCACAAGGAAATGAATCTGTTCCTATAACTGACTGATGTAATCGACCACAGCACATAAACCCCATTTCTCTGCTGGAACTCGTCGGCCAATAGCGTTCCACGTCTAAATAAATCAAATGTAATTGAGATTTTATGAAATATCACAATAATGAGATTAAGGAATATCGTGGCCACAAAAATGTAGAAGGTCACAGTATATTAGTTATGGCCAGCCTACATTTTAAATTAGCAAATAGAGATGTGAAAATGACATTTGACCTAATTAAGTTTTTTCTTTACAGGCAAAATGAATTTCAGCCTAAATAAAGGTGGTGTGCTGTTGGGATTGCTTGCTAAATTAATTCCTCTGCAAGGTGTTCGCTAGAGGTAAAAATACACTCTTTCAGCATCAAAGTACTATTATAAGTAGTGGTGTGTGATTTATTACATCATGATGGTGTTGATGATCTGTCAAAGTAGAGAATTCTCAAATTCTTTAGTGTGTTCTAGGTTCTAGTTTAGGGGCAGCAGTAGCTCAACAGGCTGAGCGAGTTGTCCAGTAATTGGAAAGTTGCAAGTTTGATCCCGGCTCCGGACAGAGAATTTTGCTGTTGTGTCCTTGGGCAAGACACTTAACCCACCTTGCCTGCTGGTGGTGGTCAGAGGGACCAGTGGCGTTTGTACTCGTCAGCCTCACCTCTGTCAGTGCGCCCCAGGGCAGCTGTGGCTACATCGTAGCTCATCACCATCAGTGTGTGAATGTGTGTGTGAATGGATGAATGATACACTGTAAACCACTTTGGAGTCCTTACTCTGATAGGCGCTATACAAGTGTGGGTCATTTATCATTCTGCCAGAGGCTGAGAAAAAACATGTTTATGAACAGTTTCCAACCGGACTGTTTCAGATGTGACACACTGAGCCTGATCCCTGCGGTGTTCATGCAAACAACCGAACACCAGCATCCATCCATGCCCGCTAAACCGGGGTCGGGTCATGGGGGCAGCAGCCTAAGCAGGGAGGCCCAGATTTCCCACTCCCCAGCCACTTGGGCCAGCTACTCCGGGGGAATCCTAAGGCGTTCCCTGGCCAGGCGAGAGACACGGTCTCTCCAGCGTGTCCTGGGTCTTCCTTTAGGTCTCCTCCCAGTTGGACGTGTCTGAAAAACCTCATCAGGGAGGCGTCTAGGAGGCATCCTAACCAGATGCCTCCGCTAGATGTGGAGGAGTAGCGGGTCTACTCCGAGCACCTCCCTGATGACCGAGCTTCTCACCCTATCTCTAAGGGAGAGCCCAGCCGCCCTGCAAAGAAAACTCGTTTAGGCCGCTTGTATCCGTGATCTCGTTCCTTCAGTCACTACCCAAAGCTCGTGACCAAAGGTGAGGGTAGGAACATAGATCGACCGGTAAATCGAGAGCTCTCGATTTTAACACCAACATGTCCGACTTAAATTTACTTTCCATTTCCCATCAAATCCAGGAAATTTGGCACTTTTATTTTCTCATGACAAACATATGGCAACTGTTTGATGTCTTGTATTTTCAAAAGTTACAGATAATTTTACACACGCACACGCGCACACACACACACACACTTTTATTTAGTCTGAAACATCACATGTTAACTTTAAGCAGGTAAAATAAACATATTCAGAAGTCATTTTTGTATTTTCATGTCAAAGCGCTTTTGGACACACGTTTGGTTTTAGATAGTCCTTAAAGCTAAAGGCATCAAGAATGAATAAGGAAAAACTCTTAAAGTCCAAAAACAGTTGTAGGTGGTAACACCAAAGAGTAATACTACACTAATACTACCACAGTAATTCTAGTGTGGGCAAAGTGTTTTCTCCAGCCGTGGAAGGCCCGTTACAGTATCATTACACTTGTGCAAGGTGGAAATCAAAAGAAAATCAGTTCACTTTATTCTTTCAGAGGTTGCGGGGTGGGGTAATTTTCATGCGCTTGGCCGCTGATGTTGCTGGGGCAACGATTGAGGTTGCTGTGTACTTCCTGATCAACCGTCTCCTACTTCCTCCGCCAGCAGTTTTTTCATCCCTCGGCTGTCACCTCTCACTGCCACCGTCCATCATCTGCTCCAGTTGGCTCTGTTGCAGTTCTAGTTTTGCTGTAAATATTTGATTTGTGTGATGCACAAACACATGCTTTCAAGGATAAACTGGATGAAGTTGATTAGGTTCACGCGGTCTCACTCCATCTCATCATTTTGTTTCGTTTTGTTTCTTGGGTAATTGAAAGATGTAACTTTTCCAAGATCGGTTAAAGTCTTAGTTCCACACAATCAGCTGAGATGACGCATTTCTAAAAAGATCTGGAGATCAATTCTGAGACAGAAATGTGCATGAAGTGTATAAAGAGGAGTACCGGAATGGGGGGATCTGTAACGGAAGTCCTCCTTAGTGAGGAGAAGCAGAGCCTTGCCATTCATCTGGAAAGTGCCGCTGGTGATTGGCCGGAGGGCGAATTCCTTCTCTGCCCACCGCAGCCACTGGGCCACGTCTTCCCTGCTCCAGAAAACTGGCTGCCAACCTGGAGGTGGAGAAGACCAGGATTTGGTGAAGAGGCAACATAATGGAGGCAAACAGAAGACAAAAAAAAATAGATAAATGAGTTGGGTGATGAAGAAGCAGTCAAGCAGGAGGGGTGAGGGGAGGAAGGAAGAAAGAAGGAAAGGCAGGAAGGAGAACATGGGGGGAGGGGAGGGAGGAAGGAGGCAGAGGCAGTAAAAAGGATATTGAGGAAGTAAAGATAAAAGCCAAAAGGAGGGAGTGATTACGGGAACGGCAGCGGACATAAAGGGAAAAAAAGAAGGAGGAGACGGAGTCAGAGAGGTTAGAATAAAAGATTAGAGGATGATCAGTTTGGGAGGAGAATCTAGAATGAATCAGACAAATGGGAAAGGAAAAACTGTAGAAGAGACACAAAGAAAAATAGATTTTATATGTCCTGCTCTGAGTTAGTTTTTATTGCCCTCATTTAAACTATGTTCTTTCATCACTGTGGGAACAAACGTGTAAAACATCTGAAACCGTGGCTAGAACATGTACAGCCCACCAACAGCAGCAGCGTATTACATTAAACCCCGTCTCAGAAAGGTACAGGAGTGACTCACAACAGAGCCACCATGCATAGTTTCACAGTAAATAAATGCCAAGTTTAAGTTGGACTTCAGCAAGATCATCTTCCCATTTAGCCAGTCTAACAATATAATTAGTAATGTAAACTCTTGACATATATTTCATTTTAATCCATCTACATTTTTTCACACTGAAAACACTAGACTGTGTTCATTGTGGAACTTGATTTCACTTTTTGGGGGGGGTTATGTTTTTCAGAATAAAAAAAACATTGTACGTTCTAGTTTCTTTAAATTTGGGATCTTTCTGGTTTAATACTGCTGATTCTACCCAACATGGCAGATATTTGGTAATAAAATCGAACCCATATTTATGTCGGTCCACACCGACACCTCATCATATCATTCTGTGCTGTTGCTGGAACCTGGTGATTTACAGTATGACTCAATATCACAGCTCTCTTTCCATTATCATCATCTCGCTTTCCCATGCTTACACAAAACCAAACTTGTAACTGTGTGTCTCTGATCAGAGCATCCATGACGCCCACACGGAGCTCAGCTACTCGCCTCTCGCATCAGACTTATCAGCCAGCCTGAAACAGGCCCTCTGGGAGGAAGACAGCTGTTATCTTTGGCCGCCAATGTCACTTGCCACACGAGTACTAAGAACCTTGTGCTGTTTCACTCTCCCCCACCCCTCCACACATCAAACAGAGGAAGTTTTCAGAGTGCAATCTATGAAAAATGAAACCTGTACTGCCAAGTTCCTATTACTTCCCTTCTTCTCTATTCAGAGAGTGGTATGAGTTCAACCAATCAGCCTGAAAACCCTTGCTTATGTGAAGAAAAGCTTCATCCTGACCCAAACGCAGAGTTTACAGAAGTTCACGTTCTGGATGTATGTTAGAACGAGGATTATGTGCTGCTTTTTGAGATCTTGCATTGCTACTTCAGGTTATCAGACAGGTTTTACTGAAATTGTTTTATTTGACAGATCTAGCAGTAATGATGCTTGGGTGTGGCTGGTGGAAATGAACAAATAAATGATGGCGTTACAGTTATTACAGTGTCAAGTTGGTTTGGATAGCTGTGTTCCTTTCGCACATTAAATCATTGATAACTGCATTTATATTTATTTAATCTATGTCTGATTCTAAAATTTAATCTGAAACATTCAAATAAGAAAAAAATAATCAAAAACAGTAGAAATCTGCTAAATAAACACATTTGTGTTGATGAATACATATGACAATGTCAAAAGTTGTCACCTTTTCGGCTTTCTGCAAATTCAGCCAGAGTAAAATGGGATCACATCCACTGGAACAGCATTGACTGATTGCATCACATACTTATTAATATTGAATCAAGCAGCCATCTGCACTACAAGCTCCAGCTGGACTTTTTGCCTCCTGTGGCGGAGTTGTGAGAGAGGCTAGGCCGGGGCGGGCACGAGTGAAGACTGGGCCGAGAGGTCAGGGCTGAAGTATGCTCATTCCAGGGCCGGAGAGACGTTCTGCTCCGCCAAAACTCCTCCGAGATCCGGTCTACCGGCCTCAGCCATCTGCACAGAGCCCAAAGGAGGAAGCAGCAAGGAGAGAAGGAGGAGGAGGAAGAAGAAACGTGTCCCATGATGCATTTTGGCTGGAAGCAATCCAGCATGGGCTCTGTTTCAGTACAGGAAACTTCCCGTAGGTTAGAGAGCAATGCAGAGAAGTCATTAACTGACAGCAGCAAACACAGCAGAAGGAAGCAGAGATGAAAGTGGGGAGACGTTCAGCAAACGATGAGTCAAGGCCATAACTGAAGGCCAAAGGGGGGAAATTACTAAAGGAAGAAACAAAAAAAGAGGAGGAAGAGGCAAACAGGAAAGTTCCCAATGCCGGACATCATGCCCAGTCCTTCCGGTGTCTTTGTGTGGTCGTTTGTGTTTTATATTAGGATAAAACTAAAAATGGCTCACTGACTCTCACCTCTCTGCTGCTATTGTGAATTTGTAGGTCACCAGTGACAGAGTTAATGCAGGTCAGAATATTCTAGTGTTAGTTTTCAGCAGAATTTATAAACGCTGCTTATAAACATTGGTGGAACTTGGATCTACCCAGCTAGTGTAACATGAGTTTGGTTGGTAGCAACAGTGTTTATCAAACACTGATCAGGAATCCATAATGAATGTTCACAACCAATGACTGTTGTTTAGAAGTCTGCAAGAGAGAAGGGAAGCTTGGGAACCAGGTTCTGCTCCAGCTACCAGACCCAGGTTCTGTTCCAGCTGCAGGTTCTGCTCCAGCTACCAGACCCAGGTTCTGCTCCAGCTACAGGTTCTGCTCCAGCTACCAGACCCAGGTTCTGCTCCAGCTACAGGTTCTGCACCAGCTACCAGACCCAGGTTCTGCTCCAGCTACCAGACCAGGCTCTGTTCCAGCTACAGGTTCTGCTCCAGCTACCAGACCCAGGTTCTGCCCCAGCAACAGGTTCTGCTCCAGCTACCAGACCCAGGTTCTGCCCCAGCAACAGGTTCTGCTCCAGCTACCAGACCCAGGTTCTGCCCCAGCAACAGGTTCTGCACCAGCTACCAGACCCAGGTTCTGTTCCAGCTACCAGACCCAGGTTCTGCTCCAGGTACAGGTTCTGCTCCAGCTACCAGACCCAGGTTCTGCACCAGCTAACAGGCCCAGGTTCTGCTCCAGCTACAGGTTCTGCTCCAGCTACCAGACCCAGGTTCTGCCCCAGCAACAGGTTCTGCCCCAGCTACCAGAACCAGGTTCTGTTCCAGCTACAGGTTCTGCTCCAGCTACCCGACCAGGCTCTGTTCCAGCTACAGGTTCTGCAACAGCTACCAGACCCAGGTTCTGCACCAGCTACCAGACCAGGTTCTGCACCAGCTACCAGCAACAGGTTCTGCCCCAGCTACCCGACCAGGCTCTGTTCCAGATACATGTTCTGCTCCAGCTACCCGACCAGGTTCTGCACCAGCTACCAGACCCAGGTTCTGCACCAGCTACCAGAACAGGTTCTGTTCCAGCTACCAGACCCAGGTTCTGCCCCAGCTACCAGGCCCAGGTTCTGCCCCAGCTACCAGGCCCAGGTTCTGTTCCAGCTACCAGAACAGGTTCTGTTCCAGCTACCAGACCAGGTTCTGCACCAGCTACCAGACCCAGGTTCTGCACCAGCTACCAGAACAGGTTCTGTTCCAGCTACCAGACCCAGGTTCTGCACCAGCTACCAGACCCAGGTTCTGCCCCAGCTACCCGACCAGGCTCTGTTCCAGCTACATGTTCTGCTCCAGCTACCCGACCAGGTTCTGCACCAGCTACCAGACCCAGGTTCTGCACCAGCTACCAGAACAGGTTCTGTTCCAGCTACCAGACCCAGATTCTGCCCCAGCTACCAGGCCCAGGTTCTGCCCCAGCTACCAGGCCCAGGTTCTGTTCCAGCTACCAGACCAGGTTCTGCACCAGCTACCAGACCCAGGTTCTGCACCAGCTACCAGAACAGGTTCTGTTCCAGCTACCAGACCCAGGTTCTGCACCAGCTACCAGACCCAGGTTCTGCCCCAGCTACCAGACCCAGGTTCTGTTCCAGCTACCAGACCCAGGTTCTGTTCCAGCTACCAGACCCAGGTTCTGCACCAGCTACCAGACCCAGGTTCTGCCCCAGCTACCAGAGCCAGGTTCTGCTCCAGCTACCAGAGCCAGGTTCTGCTCCAGCTACAGGTTCTGCTCCAGCTACCAGACCAGGCTCTGTTCCAGCTACAGGTTCTGCTCCAGCTACCAGACCCAGGTTCTGTTCCAGCTACCAGACCCAGGTTCTGCTCCAGCTACCAGACCCAGGTTCTGTTCCAGCTACCAGACCCAGGTTTTGCTCCAGCTACCAGACCCAGGTTCTGTTCCAGCTACCAGACCCAGGTTCTGCTCCAGCTACCAAGCCCAGGTTCTGCTCCAGCTATAGGTTCTGCCCCAGCTACCAGGCCCAGGTTCTGCTCCAGCTACCAGACCCAGGTTCTACTCCAGCTACCAGACCCAGGCTCTGTTCCAGCTACCAGACCCAGGTTCTGTTCCAGTTACAGGTTCTGCACCAGCTACCAGACCCAGGTTCTGCTCCAGCTACCAGACCCAGGTTCTACTCCAGCTACCAGACCCAGGCTCTGTTCCAGCTACCAGACCCAGGTTCTGTTCCAGTTACAGGTTCTGCTCCAGCTACCAGACCCAGGTTCTGTTCCAGCTACCAGACCAGGCTCTGTTCCAGCTACAGGTTCTGCTCCAGCTACCAGACCAGGCTCTGTTCCAGCTACAGGTTCTGCACCAGCTACCAGACCCAGGTTCTGCACCAGCTACCAGACCCAGGTTCTGCCCCAGCTACCAGACCCAGGTTCTGCCCCAGCAACAGGTTCTGCCCTAGCTACCAGATCCAGGTTCTGCAGCAGCTACCAGGCCCAGGTTCTGCCCCAGCT